TCATGATCCTTGAGGCGCACGAAAAATTGAATGTTTTGCAATGTTTTTTGGCAGTTAGAGTAAGGTAGGAAGGTTGTGGCGGGCAATTTTTTTAAAGAGAAAAATCATATACCTTGCACTAATACTGCTAATATTCTGGTAACTTTACAATACCTAATTATTTTTTAGAGTCATGTCGTGAGTGATTATTAGAATCTAAATACATATACATAACTCAAAGGTGACTGACTGACTGACATAGTGATCTATCTACGCACAGCTAAACCACTGGACGGATCGGGCTGAAATTTGGCATGCAGGTAGATGTTATGACGTAGGCATCCGCTAAGAAATGATTTTACGAAACTCCTCCCCTAAGGGGGTAAAACGGGATAAAAGATTTTGTAAGCACTGGACTACATAGGTATATTTCAATGTGGATTATCAGTTGTCTCTACATAACAGTTTGCTTCTAAACCTCCAACATTCTGATCCATAGCAAATTTATGCGCGATAGCATACATATTTCAACCGTGAAGGAACAGTTGTCAGTTTTTAAGCCAGATATTGTTGGTACAGCTCCACAATCAGAGCTATTTATCAAACATTTTTTGTATAAGGTTTCAGAATTTTACGAGACTGATTACAACTATCAGTATAATGCTTCTAAACCAAAGCTTCTAAAGATTATACAACTTATCAGTATAATGTTTCTAAACAATGTTTGCTTCTAAACCTCCAACATTCTGATCCACAGCAAATTTATGCGTCATAGCGTACATATTTCAACCGCGAAGGAACAGTTGTCAGTTTTTAAACCAGATATTGTTGGTACAGCTCCACAATCAAAGCTATTTATCGAGCACAGTCGCATGCGCCCAGCAGTTAAAGAACAAAGCGATGCAAGTCCACCGTATAAATCAAACCTGTCGTTCAGTCTCAGTAAGAAATATGGTAGCACCAAAAGGATTTATTTATTGCAAGCGTGCGAAACGATCGTTTTGTTATTTTTAGAGAAATTGACTTAGTGCTTCGGATTAGGGGTTCAGTGTTTTGAAGTGATGTTTGTTTGTTTATACCTATTACTTTGTATGCTTTTAAAAAAGCTTGTCATGAAACTAAGGTGATGTATTGGAGAAGATTGCAATTTTAATTAGATCTCATTAAGATGGGATAAGATAAGATTTAAATTCTAATGATTGTTTAAAACTAGCCAGAAGTCAAAATGTATCAATTTACTGACATCACTATAGTTAGGCTGGGTTGCACTATCTTACTTTAACTTTGACAAACGTCGAAAATCTGCCAAACTCCATACAAAAAACACCGGTTATCGTTATAGTTACGGTCAAAGTTAGGTGGTGCAACTTAGCCTTAGTTCGAAAAGTTTCTTCGTCAAACAATTAAAAGTTTACGATTATTTCATTTATATAACTTTTTATAAAAAAAACTTTTCCTTTTAAAGCCTTACTAATATATTATGATTATCATATAAAACGATACGTTCTGATTCATGCATAAAACTTCTCAAATCCAACCCGAAAACTTCGTGGCATTCATATACGGATAAAAATTGCTTTATCCGATATATCTACAAGAAGTATATTACTATTCCGCGCATAACACGAGACCGTTACAGGAGGAACTACACGCTGGAATACGCAAACTTTCCTTATGAAAACTTTTTGAGGATGTATCCAAAAGAATTCCAGTCCCCCAATAAGATTTTCCAGAAATTTCAACTCATACTTTTAATATTCAAAAAGTTATAAAACACATCCTCTTAAACTTAAGATAGTTTGCTGAAATATCTCATAACAATAATATGACAACTAAAGCTGCCCTCGACGCGGTCGATGCGAGCTCGCCGAAATTTTGTCTGAAGCCTTGTTCACAGTAGTCGAGTAATTTAGTCGAGTGGCGAGTGATTTAGTAGGTAGATAGTATATATATGGTTTATTTGCAAAACACATTGACACGCAAGAAGCAAAAAGTAAGATTAATAAACACAGGAGTAGCAGGAAAGATATCGTACATTAGAAAGATTAAAAAGAAAATCCTGGGTCAAGGTATAAGTGTGCCGCACCGATGCAAAAAAGCAGAGAGCTCAGTAGACACTGCTCTAAAATGAGCAGAACACTGATTTTCAGTAGCTAAACGTGTCCGAATACCAAAAATTTTGACCAGAGGGGAAACCGAGGAGAGTTGTGACAAAGGAGAATTGTGACATTGTCGTTTTTTTTGGAACTTATTAACTCTGAAGCAGTGCGCATTTTTTATTTCAAGTCTCGAGCAAACAATACGCGCTGTTGCGAGCTCGCTGATAGTTAACAGGTTTCCAAAAATCGACAATGTCACAACTCTTCTCTGTCACAACTATCCTCGGTCTCCCCTAGGTTACTAAATTGTTGTTCAATTTTGACAGGTGAGTACACCCCACACTATGCGTCCCTGCTCACTCGCTTACCGGCTAAACGAGTCCGAACCGGGCGGTTTAGTCAAGTTCATACAAAAACCACTAATGAATGTAAACTGTACTCGGTCGGTTTTTTGGTAAGTAGCGAGGTTACTAAAGGCGAGTTACTCTAAATCACTCGACCAGTGCGAACGAGTCTTTGCAGCGCATTTTAAGGATAGTTAGAACACGAATAAGAGTTCTACCACAGATAATAATAAGTACTACGTACAGAAGTTTTACTTCGCGAAGGTATTTAAACAATGTATGCTCAATGTCATTAACAGTATGGTGTAATTTAGCCTGTCTCAAGAATCAAGCACCATTTTGTTGACAAACGTCAGTTATCGGCACTGCGCCGAAGCTATAGGGCTGACATCGGTAAAATGATGTGACGTGAGGTGCCAAACTGCGGAAAATGGCGGAGGAAATACATGATTTAGCATGAATTATCATGAATAATATTAACTACTGATTTACCTCCCAGTGTCTTGAGGCAACTTAAAAAAGCACATTCTGTGTTTTTATTATTATTCAGGCAGTTAAATACTGCACAGTATTTAGTACAACATTTTCTTTATTTTCTTCCATCATACACAAGAATACGCGTGCGTCAGTCAATGTTCGCTTCGTGAGGCCTTGTCGAATAGTGTCCTGTAGGTGGGCCATCGTGCGTGTTTTGTTTTCAATGTAAGCTCGCGGAGATGAACAGGCCTGGTTCTACGAGTGATTTCCTTGAACTCGGTCTTGGCTTGACTCCGGATACTTCGCACTCTCCCGGGAAGAGGCGCCGTAGTGAGGGCGAAGAGAAATGCTGCGACAGGCGTGAATGAAACGAAAACGAAAACGCGTCCGCATAGATTTATTTTATGTCCCGAGTAAAGGTCAGTAAACGTTCCGAAGGCGACCAATCAAACGAAGTTAAAAGCAAATTCTCGAGTCTTGAATGCGACTTAACTTCGAATTTTATTCCAACTCCGGGGCGCTAATGGCGTCCGCCCTGAACAAAAACTCGCTTGATTAAAATCGTTTGTCGTAATAAAAGGAGCACTAAAAAGTTACAGCCGAACGAAACGGGACCAGTAGGCCCGTAAAATCGATCACCCGATACTGATCATTGGAGGACAAAAATTTAACGGCAAACTCGAGATTACAGAGTCTAATTTAGTGCTCTGGATTAAAGGGGAAATATTAAATTGTTGCGAGCTTCTTGGCAGCGCGCGCGCCTGATGCCAAATGAGTCGTGAACGGTGGGTATTTTTTATTAGCGCGGCCCCCTCCACTCGCGTTATGCCCCGCGCCCCGTTCCCCTCTTTCGTCCGATTTCGCGCCTACCCTATTTACATTCACGAGTGAACCAACGGCGTGTGAAATTTTATTTCTTCGACAATCTGAGATGAGATTAGCTGTAAATTGAGTTTATGACGGAATCAAATATGCATGTCGTCTACCCCGCGCCGACTCCGCTGCCTTCACGGTTCATCGCGTCCGTAAATTCTGTATTCGCTCTTTTATTTTCTCTACTTCCGTGTCATCTAAAGCTCCCACTGATCGTTGGAATAATACATTATTTCCTCAATTCTCAGTTATCGCATTTACATAGTGGATGTTATTCAGACTTGTTTTCCTACCAAAACGGGGTCTCCAAGCCTCGATATTTAAATGATAGAAAAATACTCGAGAATAAGCGTACTACACGAAATTGCTAAAGTAAGAAGTGTAATAATAGGGGAGAGTTCGGTATATTGTACCGCCGGGTAAATTGTACCACCCTCATATTTCGTAAAGTATTTATTGAATGTCTGTAATTGCAACACTCAGCGATACACAACTAAAATAAATTAATATCGGCCATGTGGTTTTTGCCGTGACAACAAACACGTGTGTTTTATTTTGAAAAGTATTTTTTCATTGTTTTCAAGTAACTTTTGACAATACATGTTTAGTTTGTAATTTTGTTAAATTTAATCACAGTGTGTTTCTAATATATTATTTAGAAGCGTAAATTAGTGTGGATTACAATTTTTTGAAACATTTTTCGGTATTTATAAGCTATATTTTTTACTGATTTTTTAAAAGCACTATCACCTAGTCGGCTAAATTGTACCACATCAAGTTGTATGGAACTTGTTCGAGCNCGGACATAGATTAGTTAGTGCAGAATCGTTAAAACTATAGCTATCTCTTTCATTTGCGTGCTATTTCGTATCTTTTGTTTCACTTATCAGTTACATTTGTCAATGTGTGCTATTTGGAATAGCTCGGCACGGATTCAAATCGTAATTTCTATGAACGTAACATATCTATAGTTCTTTAATATCATTGGTAGCAATGTAATTTTAGTATCCACTGCAAGAGCATGACAATATATGATTTTACAGAGGCAAATGTACCTAATTCGTTTCAACAGAGGACGTCCACTGCTGGATATAGACCCACAAAAACCGATCCTGTGCTGCGCGTATGCAGACGCTTCCCACGCCTGTAGAATTATCAGTCCACACTATCTCGATATAAAACGAATGCTATAACGTAGTATAATGCTTCACTGTTGTGATATACTGACCTCTCCTCCCGACGCGTACTCCATAACAAGATACAGAGTCTTCTCCGTCTCGATCACCTGGAACAGCTTCACGATGTTCGGGTGGTCGAGCATCTTCATTATCCGCACCTGAAAACAAACATATCGATGAGAAACATTTCCGATTAATATCTTTTCCTAGGTGCTGCTTTTTATTAATCCAATCTCTTGTTCCCACTACTGCACCTCCGTTCTAATCAGGATTTACCGCCAATGATCTAACCAAACGGGACTATTTCCACCTACCGTTCCCCCCGCTGCAACTCCTGTGTAGCCAGGTTCTACAGTTTGACCGCCAATAAAAACCCATGAAGGTCAAAATTGTCCCAGTCAATGCTCTAACTAGTGAACGTTGAGTGGTTCCGGGAGAAACTAACTGCTTGAGAGTGAAACGGAAATGAAACGTGTCTCTCTCACCTCTCTGAAGAGTTTCTGTAGTGAAGCGTAACCAACCACACTTACACCAGAGCCAAATGGGACCAACAGAACGTCAGAAGTTGGAAAATCAAAACGTCCCTCTATCTCACGTCTCTGGTGAGATTAAGAGCCCTCGCGCTCACTTATTTATTATTATTGCCCGATGAGCTAGAGCCATCTAGGACTGCCAGAACAGCCCAACCTTTCCATTCTTTAACTTCTTCCAAGAAAATCTTTAACGTGTGGATCTGGCAGAGCCAAATGGTACTAGTAGAAGTAGACACCACAAATTTGGAAATATAGATATGTCTCACCTCTCTGAAGAGTTTCTGAGCCACGTGTTTTTCTTCAACTTCTTCCAAGAAAAATTGGACTGTGTGGTTTCGGCAGAGCCGAATGGGACCAGTAGAAGTTAGGAAAGGAAAATGCAACTTACCTCTCTGAAGAGTTTCTGCAGGGAGCCAGGGTTGAGCTGCGTCTTGTCAATGATCTTGATGGCCACCTCCTTGCCGGTGGGCACGTGTTTCGCCAGCTTCACCTTCGCGAAGTTGCCTTTGCCGATCGTTTTTAGTAACTTGTACTTTCCTGTTAACAAATTGTAGGAAAATTAAGATTTATTTGTTTAGTTTTGTTGGTTTCATCAACTTTTAGTTTCATTCAAACAAATGAGAACAAAAAATATGAGTCATATCTAGATTATACACTTAAATGAAGGTCATTCTTGACCCATTTATGCATCTGAGAAAGATGCTTCAGGTAATGCATTTGGAACTTTATCATTTGATGCAAACTTTGGAAAAAAGTTCATTAAATACATAGGCTATCTATACTCAAGTTGGACTCGAGTTTTGAGCGTCGTCTCACAAACTACAGAATAATATGCTACGTATAAGCCACATAGTGGTCTCCTAATACGTGGACCGCCGTTCTTGAAATCCTTATAAGAAACCTTTGTGCTGAAACGAAATACTGACCATAGTATGGGCAGGCCTCCCGCTAGATGGACCAACTATCGCGGTAAGTGCCTGTATACGGGCAGTGCAGGACCGGTCGTTGTAGAAATCCTTAGGCAAGATATTTGTCCAGTAGTGAACGTCATTTGAACAAGTTACGTGAACAAGGTGGACCGAGGACCTCATATAGGTAGCGGGAAGGCGCTGGATGCAGGCCGCCACCAACCGGCCACTATGAAAATCATTGGGGGAGGCCTATGTTCAGCAGTGGACGTCCTATGGCTGAAATGATGATGATGATGTGAACGTCATTTGGTTGAAAAGAGACGGAATACTGACCGATGTGTGGCTCCTCGGAGGCGCGCGAGCGGGACGACACGCGGGTGCTGCCCTCCGACGAGCCTCCGCCGCCCGCGCCCATCTTCACCGAAGACGACTTCACCTTGTCCGAGTGACTCTGTAACGGAGAAATATCATCATTTTAGTATACTTTTACTAGTTGTGGGAGGTAAGTAATAAGTAAAACTCGGTACCCCTATAAAAATGAGTGTGGGACTATTCAAATTACTAAAAAAAACTAGGGTTCTTGTAAAAATAATGTCATAAATAATGCGTCGTCACCAAGAAACAGGGTACGCGTTCACATAGCTCGCTAGTGTAGGTACGTCGCCACATAAATTGGAACTCAAGTGGGTAAACAATAAAATTATGGTCAATAATGGTCACACGGACTAAAATAAATTCTACAATCACCACCATCGCTGCCAGAAGGGGTTTTTGGGGTGATCTAGGTTAGCGTGGAAAGAGACCACTATAGCCCAATCAAAGGCTAAGTGCGGTTTTGATTGCCCTGCTAAACTGTCATTAGGTCACTCAGTCTCTACTATAGGAGCACGAGTGCACGACCCTCTCTATGGGGCTGCAATGTACTGTCGTAAGAGTGAAGCACTGGCTATTTAACTAATGTCGTTTTGTCAAATATGTATCAGTTCATTGTTCGCTGCGAATTACTTTTCCACAGGTTATTCGTAAAGAAAAAATGTGATCCTCCGCCCGCACCAACTTTTTGTAACATTTCCAATTTATGGCAAAGTAGCGTTTGATCGCAATCTGACCCAAATACTAAAAGAAACGAACGAACATGACCAAAAAGAACTCTGCTTTTCCAAAATTTATCTAAACTTGTATTTTTTTTTTCTGAACTTTATTTACTTACTCGAGATAATGAATAAAGTTTTGAAAATGACAAAAAACCTCGTCTGAACTTTGTTTGTAGACATTGTTATAGTCTTTGTTTATTTGCAAAAAATGAAACTAAGTTACTGTCCATGTAACTCATTTAGAAGTATACATACAGGTATTTTGGATATAACATGGAACAATATTAAGTGAAATAGAAAACAACAACACATTTCATATTAAATCTTATCAAAAAACCTTAACAATAAAAAATCACATTTCATTCTATAGCTCGTATACAAAAGAAATCAAAGACTTCAAGATCGTATCTTTACAGTTTATAAACGTATTTCCTCCACTGTATTTCACTGTTTACCCTGAAATAATGTTTTTCATGAGCCCAAGGCCGAATAAGTTAGCCGCTTACGTATTTCGTGACCGAGCTACGTAGCGCCTGCTACGTAATACCATTTACGTTCGCGGGCCCAAAATAGTGCCCTGAATGGCCCCGATAACAGAGGCTATTTAAGGCATATCTGACTGCACGCAGGCATCTGAGTAAATTAAGGCGCTATTAAACTATGTGGAGCTAAATATAGTTAGCGAGAGAGCCTTCCTTATTGTGATTACACGAACCTAATGATATATTTAACTAGGTATTACACAGGTTATATTATAATCGATACATTTTATACAATTTTTAGTTACTAATATCCCTGTTAACCCTCACAATAAGCTAAACTTATATGTAAGTATAATACGGTCGCCTAGAATTTAAAAGCATATTCTAAATAACTTGAAGCCCCAATCAAGGACAAAAGAATGAATCAGTTAAAAATAACCCCGAAAACGATAAAATAATACATGACGTACATCCGATAAAGTAAAACGCAAATCATAAAATGATAACGGGAATAAAAATAGATACTGATACATATTCATGTTCATAGGGTTATAAAGATGAAAAAGGGGTAGAAAAGCTTGAACAAATGGACCCATAGAATCCAGATATAAACAACCCGGAACGTGCTAAAGTGCGCAGATATGAAACAACGCCCGTTCCTAAATAATATACGATGGGACGGAATCCGAGACGTCCATAAACCTTTGACACTCGAAGGGAACAATACAGATGAATATTTATAAAGGGGCGACAAGAAGAAATGAGACGAAATATTTCGGATTACGGGAATATGGAGTTTGTTTGAAAATGCTTCCGTAACACAAGTCTAGATGGTCTGATTTCAAGGAAAAATCTTACAACATCTATTTCTTTTATTCCTCGATTTTGAGGTCATGATTTCAAAGGGAAGAAACACAATTTCTTAAGAAATTTTAGTCACATTTTCGCTATTTCGTTTTTGACTATATCAATTCTATTACTTGGTACTAGCCTGCTAGGTATATGTTGTTGGCAAGGGGATGGGGTTGAAAAAAAAGTATATTTTTATTAGTCTGACGTGGTTACTATTAATTAATTTTAAATCCTACAGAACACAAGTTTTTAAATTTTTACTTTCTAACGCAAGTAAAACAATGAAACAGATGAAATTAAGGTTACAATTTCATTCATTCATTGTAAGGTACACACTTCGTAGTTCGTCCACTTCCATAAATCACTTAGAAGAATTGGTAGCGAAACGGCACGGGCTATTCCGGGGTGAATGCCTTCCTAAATCAGGGATAACGGTGTTCCCTGAGGAGCAACAAACGGAATGAACAGATAGCGCCGGCATCTGACTGAATTACTGTGGACATGGCAGTTGATGGATTATACAACTCTTTTTAAACATTAATTAGAAATGGTTAAGTTAGGGGATAAGGGGGTAAAGGTTTACGTGTTGCTCTCATATACTTTGAGTATTCATTAACTATGTACACCATTCAAATTTTAGGCAAAAGTTTGAAGATCTGTTGGTGGTGTCTCCACACCAATCTCATATAAAAAAGCACAAGTGAAAACAAAATGGTAAAAAACCTTTGCTGATATTATTTAATCATCAGATCAGGTGACCTACATACCCAGTTTAAACACACCAATACCTCGGAAAAAAAGGTAAACAATAACAACTCAAAACAATTCACGCTTTGTAATTAATTACATGTGTTTTGGTGGCGTGACAATTTGGAAGGCCGCGCGAAGGAGTGGCCTACAATGTCCTTGGAACGAGACCTAGTTGGAAGGATCTAGAAGAAACCTTTGTCCAGCAATGGGTCTTAATCTTACACTAGAACACAAACAATCATTTATTACTTAAAAAGGGCGTGGATTTTGCACCTGGGGAGATGCCAAGCAGAAGTTTATGTTCAGTAAATCTCGGGTGGAATTGTCGATCGTTCCTTGGAAATCAAGATTACCGCAAACTCGGTCACCTCGCAATGCAATCAATGTAATACATAAATCAATAATGGCGAGCCATTAAAAGGGCATGGACCCTGGAACCACCTGGGGAGCTTGCCAAGTTTATGTTATAGTAAATCTTGAACGTGAATGAGCGTCTGCTGGGATTAACGGTTTAGGTAATGAAAATAAGAACACTGAGGTTTTATCCAAAGGCATTACAAAAAAGTCAAACCCATCATGTTAAATCCATGACAAACGCACTCGTCAAAAGACACCAGCTGTTTGATAATGACGAATTTGTAAATCTAGAAATAGTGTAACGTCAACACACATGGTCAGGTTTTCTGGTGAACAGAAACCAGAACGGAAGGTGCTAAAATGGGACTATTCCCACCTCTCGTTCTCACCGCTGCAACTCCTGTGTAGCCAGGATCTACAGCTTGAGCGCCAATAAAAACCCAACCAATGTAGGTCAAGTCTGTATCAGGGGAAAGTTAAACTGACATTGGACCCACAATGAAATTAATCAGAAGAACATAGGAGGAGTGGGGGGAGGGGGGGTTATAAATAGTTCAAACAGTACCCCGTGCAGTTTCTCGATGGCCTTAGCACGTCGTCGCCTCCGCCACAGCTTGGAGAGGAAAACCGGAGCCAGGAGGGGGAGGACCCGGTGCCTCATCGTCTGAGGGTTTATCTTGCCGGCTGTACGGGCGAGCGCCCGTTAGTTACTCCCGCAAAACCGCCAACAGATGGCGTTGTTCGAAAGTTCGCCTTCAGGCGTGTCGTATAGATGGCGCTGTTTCGTTCGGACGAAAATTTCGATGTTTTAATACACTAATACATATCGTGAGCACTTCACTAAACACTGTTCAGTCGGTCATGCACGCAAGGACTTTGCCTTGTTTCACTACACAACACTTAACCGCTATTTTCTACGCACCGCAGTTTATTGTTGTGGGTACTTTATTTAATCAAAATCAAAATCAAAATCAAAAAATATTTATTCAGTTTAGACCACAAGTGGCACTTATGAACGTCAATAGAAAATAATAAAAAAAAAAGAAAAAGGTAGCCCTTATGGGGCACTTTACATGTCTCCTTATCTTTTGGGCCCTACCAGCGCTTCGAGACAAACATAATTATGGCAAGTGCTGAGAAGAAACGCCGGAACAAACTCAGTCACCACTTATNCGGTGAATAGCATAGTGAGGAGACCATACAACTGAACCGTACTCTAGTGTGCTTCTAACTAGGCTGAAGTAAAGTGTAAGGAAACTTCTTGGGTTTCTTCTTTGGTAAATCTAGAAAGTTTCTGAGGTCAGTGTGTTTCTTCTCATTTAATGCAGTTCAAAACTTAACAAGTAAACTTATTAGGTACAGTTTTAAGGTTGATAATGGCTAATCTTTGCAAGCAAAAAAACTGTTGAATTACTATTACCGGTGACAGGCACTGTGTCATCGGATACGTGCTCGGCGCCGTGTGACATTAGAGCGAGCACCTGCAAATCTATATTAGCTGCTCGCACGTGAGCAGTTTAGTGGATTGCTGCTGCGAATCCGTGTTTGTGCTACGCTGCTACTGAATCGACGTGACATTTGGTCAGCAATTTAAATTTTGACGAATATTAGAGATATCATTGAACGTTTCACGCGTTAGTTTCTGGCCTCATTACTTACTAGAGGCACCACAAGTATTAGTAGCTTACATAAAGGGTGTCATATCATCATCATTTAATAAATGCAAAGTTAGCGGCCGCGCCACATATTTTAACTGCGGTGTAGAGTTTAGAGGGCTTGTAAAGTCAGAAGCTTGGCTTTGAGTTCTGATAACTTTCCACAATGCGAGCCATGATGGTCTCGTCTTGGCAATATTTTACATGAAAATGTATTGGTAGAATTAGAAATCATATTTATTGAAAATCCTTTTATTCGCATTTATCAGTACTGAATAAGATTTAGGACTTTGTAGCGTCAGCGAATAAAAATGACCACCCTGTATAGGCTTTACAAGTGCTCGTCCTAATATCTCACGTTGTCGTTTGTTTGAAATTGGGCATCACATAAAATTAAACGCTTTTTTTTAATTGCACCTAAACTATCACAACAGACACAAGGTGACATTTTAGCGTTTGATAATAGAGTAAGGTCGGACCACCCTGTATAGGCCTGCAGGTGCTCGTCCTAATATCTCACGTAGCCGATGACGCAGTGCCTGTCACCGCTCATAATGTGCCAACGCGGTTTGTTAGACAAACGCCCGGCGCTAGGGACGTGGCGGATCGCTAATATCCAGTAAGGAAGACGAATACGGAGCAATTAATTACAGGTAATATTTGGTGTTCTATCTGGAATATTACAGTAATGATTTACGAGCTGAAACGGGTAATGAATAATAATATGTTTTTGCGCCTGCGGTTAGTGAATTTAATGTAAGTTTAGTAGAATCTATTCAAGATTTTGGATGGGACAGCATTACTTTTATATCGAGGTAGACAGATAAAACATTTTATCACGAGCACCCGCCGACTTTAGCTTTCAATACATTTTAACATAAATACTTATAATTTATATGGAGCATGATTGTGTTTTTTCGTTTTAAAACCACCTAAGTTTAGATACCAAATAATAGTTCATTGAAAATATTTCCGATTTCGTATAACATAATATTCATAATAATGATCTTCTTTACAAAATATTATTGAGTACTAAGTATATTCAGTACACATAAAACAACCGGATAGGCACAAAATAATTTAAATACAAACTTAAAATGAACAGCAAGCTTTTCCTCCCAAATTTGCTAGCTTCAGACAGTAAATCACATATTCAAATATCATAAATGAAATATACAGTGTGAGTCACGTTAAAGTGTACATATGAAAATAGATGAAACTAGACCTATTTTTATCGACAAAAAAGAGGTCAAAAAATTTTTGAGATTTATTTTTTATTTTTTATAGAATTTTTTTTCTTCAAATTACTTATTGTAAAGAAAACGTAATAACTTTTAAACTAAGAGGTATATCCTGATAAAATAAAAACGGTAATAATGCTAAATAAAAATAAACGATCATTGCAAACGTTGTGATAGGGATAGAGACATGCGATTTTTGGTTTTACGAAGTTAATACGATACAGAACAATACAAAGTAATAAAAACCACCGGTTATAGGGGCATTTTTTGGAGAAATTTATCAAATAACCAAAAAAACACGAATTTAAAAGCAGATATTTTTCAAAAAGTATCATTTTTTATTATTTGTTGGCATTTTTTGTGTATTTTTATAGTATCGCCTGTTATTTAGCATTATTACTGTTTTTATTTTATCAGGATATACCTCTTAGTTTAAAAGTTATTAGGTTTTCTTTACAATAAGTAATTGGAAGAAAAAAAATTCTATAAAAAAATAAAAAAAAATCGCAAAAATTTTTTGACCTCTTTTTTGTCGATAAAAATAGGTCTAGTTTCATTTATTTTCATATGTACACTTTAACGTGACTCACACTGTATAACTTAGTCACACTGTCCGGGCCGTTACGAGGATACCTTCACCACAATACCCCCTTGTAAATGAGGTTAAGAACCATATAGGTCCATTGTTTTGGCGACCTTTTACCCCCCAATATACCCTGTATCACCTCCATATGATATATTTCGTAGCAATCCCAGTATATTGTAAGTGGTTGGAATATTGTTCGAAGGGAAATTACTCGTATTAATTCATGGAAATGTTGGAGATAAATAATTAAATATCAAAGTTCATTAATATTCGTAATTGCTCGCCGACTTTTGACTTAAATAAAACATTGGTTAAAGTTGAATTAAGACTGTTTAACATTATTCTAGAAAGTAACAAAGTTTTCTAACGTAGCAGACAGTTTGTGTATTTTACTGCTATTTTTATATTATGATCATTTCATGTCGAATTGGTCAAAACCAAATCGATTAATGTGCCAGAATTATCTAAGTTTGAATTTTTTTCCATGTAACAGTTGTTTAAACCTTAATGGTTAGTTTACCAAACTGACTTATATTTAAAGTAGGTAATTGTGCATTGAAAATGTATTAAAATTTTACAAAAGCTTTCCATTTTTTCGCAACCATAGAGTTTTGATGTTAAGCAAAAACAGATGCTTAAATGCAAAAAGTTACTTCGGAACAGATTCTTCTTTATAAGGTCAGACACAACTAAAATGTCTGAAAAACTGGACAACTTACTAACATTTAAATGAAACCACAGAACCGGGCGAAGAATTTCCAACTACAATGCAACCATCAAGATAAAAAAACGCGTATTAACCTACATAAAGTTAGTTTGTAGCATAATGCAGTCTACACAGCAAACCCGCCGACTTGACATGTTGTCAAAAGTCGCCGGGCGACCGGCGTCATTCGTCGACATAATTATTTTAAAATAAAAAATAAATCGCCGATTCCAAGTCCTCCGTAGGCTAATAAATGGGTACTATGGTCTCCTATAACCACCGTAGGCTGCGTCACAATGAATTCTCGCGCGAGCGAAAACCGCCGTGAGTTGTGCACTGGATCTTAAATAAGTATCTGCATTCTTCAGAAGCCGCGGGCCCGCAACCGCCGCGGGCGCGGGTGAAAATTGCGCCATGAGTTCTTAGCCTCAGACATTGATTGTCGACACCGCCTTCCCCTTCATTTTTTTTTAAGTAACTGTCCTCACCATAGGTTGTCTGGAAGAGATCGCTTCATAGCGATAAGACCGCCTAGTTGTACCTTGTGTGTTCCTTTTCTTTCTGTTCTTATCTTTGGTGTGCAATAAAGTGTATTTATTATTATTATTATTGATTTCGGCATCGATAGGAACGTTTGACGCTGAATTCGTAAGCCACGTATAGCGTTAAATAGGAGACCGTAACCTTAAAGAATCGGTCTCGGCCGTTTGGTGTTGTTGTTTCTTAAACAGTACCTCTAGTACGAAATACTTTCGAGTTCGTTTCGTTTGCGTATTCAAAGTGTCATCGAAAAATTTTGTATGAAAAATTAAACAGCGCCCCCTATATTATAGCCGCCCTAGGGGAACGAACTCGAAAGTTTTTCGTACTAGAGGTACGGACTACTATGCCGAGAGGTCACGGGTTCGATTCCCGGCCGGGCAGATCCATTAAGCTAGCACCCATAACACAAGCATAATTTAATTGTTTACTTTGGGGCAAGACAGCGCTGTGTGAAACTGTCCAGAGATATTTATTTTATTATTATTTCATAAAGAATACTTACAGTACAGCTGAATCTGGACGTTGACCCTCAACGGCTGGACTAGCAGCGTATTATCAGCTGTGCAGGTGTACACTGCTTCGAAGTATTCCCTCGTGAGCTTCGGTATCCGGAGTTCCAAGGAGTTGAGGCCAGAGCCGTCATCGACTGGCATGAGGGTAGCTATGACTTTGTCGTCGCGCCACCATCGGAGGCGTGGGAGAGGGTTACCTAGGGAAAAACCAATATTATTACATACTTATGGAACTGAAAATAAGGCTGAATTTTGAACTGGGCAGTTTCGTTTTGGCTGACTTCAAAACTCATGATTGCATACATACCGCAGCTGTAACTAACTAACTCAAGACAATGTAGTCGACGTAATATTGGTTAATATTTTTAAATATTCTGAAATAGTGAATATTTTGTTTTTTAGTGTGTGTAGTTTGTGATGATTTTACTGAAGAAATAGTTATTTGAAAATTTAGGAATTGGCGATCAATCCGCTGTTAAAACCATTCTTGATAGGTTTTCGTTTTTCTTTTCACAAATATAGATAAAATACCTAATTTGCATGGAAAAAAAGACTGATGTTGATAATACAATTTCCATACAGACCTCTTCAGCCATCTTTAAAGCGATTATCTTGCGTTATCAGGCTCCCCAAAAAAAAAAAACTTTCTTATCACTCAGAGGGCTTAGTGTGAGTGTACATCAAATGTAGGTAGGTACTCACTAGTGAGCGCGTATTTTAGTTCTTGAAATTTTCCGCTAGGGGCGCTGTACAGTACAATCCGTCATACATTTATGCCATTTTTTTACGCGCTCACTAGTGACGACGTTTGATAACTCACACTAAAATTTTACTACACCGCAATTTTTCATTCTGTAACCTTAAACCAGTATTCATACAATTAAGTCAAGGCAATAACGTTTGTCGCAATGGGGTAATTTGGCTTATTTCACTTAGCGCTATTTTTCATAAATAATAATATGCCTACTAACTACTTTTCTAGTAGGCACTCATCAAGCTATCCAATTAATTTTGACCTCAATGATACTCAAAATTCGGTCATGCATAGCATAAAATAATTCAAACAATTATCAACAGCCCACAAAACACTCGACATGTTTATTTATAATTCTCGTTAGTGATTGTTTGGAAAATAGCGAGTATTATAAAAAAGTTTAAGTATTCGTCTAGATTTCTAAGTTATTTTGCTGAAAAACCTCTAATAAAGAAATTATATAAATAATATTAGTAAAATCTCCGTTTCTCTCAAGAGACCCCGAATTTCTTTTGTCTGACCAACTCAATAAGGCACATAATATTTTGTATAGTAGGTACTTGTAGTGTATTTTTAAATTCTAATGATTTATTTTTTATCACACAAAACTTTTTATGTATAAAACTGAATATCTCAGGTAGTTATGTGAACGTATGACCTTTCGCTTGTTTGGCGAATGTTCTGACTGCTAGGTAGACTTTGACAAACCAGTAATTTTTTCTAGTTACAAGTTAATAATTGTAATAATCTGAATCGAAATCTGTCATGGGAAGGGAGTCTGAGTTATTTCATCACAGAATAATTTTTACTTGGACTTACTTAAAATTAAAAATATATTTTATTTAACATAAAAAATGTACAACTATGTAACAGTTTTACCTCCACTTACAACACAGGTAAGTTTTAGGCTCGTGTCTTCTATGTAAGGCCCAGCTACGCCCACAACTTCTTTGTCTCTCTCATCGAAAATCTTCGGCTTTTCCGGCAACTCTGTAACAAATTATGGTTATAAATTCCAAGAATAAGTATATCACGAGAATGTAACATAAGCTAAGAACACATAAACGGGATTAAACTGAATATTTAATAAGGTAGGGGTGCCTTAATTAAGGTAATCTAATTTTAAATATCTTGTTACGAAAATATGACTTATAAAAAACTAGCTTTCCGCCCGCGGCTTCGCCTGCGTGGAATTTTGTCTGTCACAGAAAAACATTATCGCGAGCGTCCCTGTTTCAAAAACCGGGATAAAAACTAACCTATGTCCTTTCCCGAGGCTCAAACTATCTCTATGCCAAGTTTCATCAAAATCGGTTCAGTGGTTTAGTCATGAAAGCAAGACAGACAGACAGACAGAGTTACTTTCGCATGTATAATTAGTATAGAAGTATTAATAGATAGTATACATAAAGATACGAAAACTCAATCCAAATCACACGGGCAGAAACGTTATGTGATCGGTCGCTATTTTCAGATTCAAGGAATCACAGTCTAGTACTTAATTATATTGCGAGTGTCGCTACTTAGGCTGAGTTGCACCATCCAATTTTAACCATAACTATAACAATAACCGATGTATTTTGTAAGGAGTTTGACAGACCTTTGACGTTGTCAAAGTTAAAGTGAGATGGGGCAACCCAGCCTTAATATAGATCTTAGCTGTTGTTAAATCAAAATCTATTTCGGGTGATACAAGGTTTCGGCAAGAGACCTTCGTGTTAATAATTCAACGATATCCAGTTACACTATCGTTTGGGTATTCCAATAATTATGTCGATGGTCAAAGGACATGATGTCCTAGAATTTCGATTATATTCTCACTTAATTAAGGTCTCAGAACCTTAAAACAGGTCTATCTTAATATAGAATTGGTGTATTAAAGCAAGTAGGAAAAGTTTCGAGTTTTGTCATCCCTCTCACGCAAAACGAGATACCAGCACGAGTGACAGTGACAGACTCGAAACTACGTAAACGGTGTAACGGAGTAACCCTGCTGAGCTTTTGAGATTTTTTTTTTACGAAAAAACAGTTTTTGTTTCTTTCCAATGAAGGTTTAAAATCGTGCACACGCTTTTACTGGCACCAAATTGCGGAAATGTTCGCATTAGCGATACAAATAGTTCGTATCTAACGCTCGCGGTCAGATCACAATAAAGTAGCCATTTGCCCAGCGGGTTTACCCATATTTGCCCATGTACTGAGTTTTGGCTCGTGGCCAGTTCGGCTTTATTAGCGTAATAATTCTTTTGTTTTATTACCTAGTCGAATTATGTAATAGCTGCTAGTACGGATTTATGGCCTATTTAGAGCAACCTAAAGTTTTCAACGGAAATTGCGATTGTTTGAATTTATTGAAATTATAATACTTTAGGTTTATGTTCTGAAATTATACTCCATTAGGGTCGTACTGATTCTACAAATATCATTAGCGATATTTATGTGATACTCATATTAAATTAATCATTAAACCAATTCTTTACTTACATGTTTATCAGATATATTACATTTAAGTAAATTAATAATGATAAGATATAATACATAACTTCATAAGAATCCCGTATATTGCGTCCCAATTTCACCAATAAACCAATTCGTCAAGTTGTAATTGTTTCATCTCGAATAGACGATCTTATCGGCATTATATCGGAGATTTCCATTCTTCTGTTGAACAAAACAAAAACCAATATCCATTGTCTCTGATTCAATAACGTCACTGTCGAATATAAAACGGCTCATCTCAAAAAATCACAATATCGTCGATAAGATTGCTCCGAAGTCCGGGACCAAAGTAATTTTGTGCCAGGGAAGCCTTTTATTTTAGCAATATACAGTCCAGAGGAAAAAGTTTAATGTAGGGTAACTCAATTATGGTGAATCCCCACCGTGCGTGCCCTAAATTTATCACAATCTCCGTTCCAACGTTCAATCTACTGAACGACTACCTGTGTTTGTAGCGCTCCTAAGCTTTGAGCAGTAAGGTTTCAAATCAAACGTCGTGTATTAGTTAGTTTATTTTTTTTATCAGAAGTTTGTGGTACGGAATGTAGTAACTTTAAAGGGGTTAGTTTTGTTTGCAAAGGGAGCTTCACTAGGTACTAACAGAACGAGCAAAGATAATTTTACAAGAGAATCCTAAAAAGGCGCCCAGTAAGGGTGGTCCATGCCAATTGGCATTCCAGTCCTTGAATCTTTTATTATTGTAAATTAATGGCGAGTGATGTGACTTTTTTGCCATTGCAAAGAGAAGACTGCTGATTTTTGAACGAGAAATTATCGTTTATACTATTAGTCCGATTATGGAAGCCTATGTAATCCAAGTTCTGAAGTCTCCATACAACGAATCTCCTCGTTGATCGAACTAAATTATCAGTTGGTAAGCGCAAAGACAGTCGTTCACGCTCATTAATCTTCGTCTAAATCAGAATCTTCTTTTCTATCAGTCGTGCATTTTATCAGCCCTTTTCAAATTCAAACGCTATTTTACCGTATTATCTGGACTTTTGGTGAACGAGAAAGAAATACAAAACATTTTATGGGTCCGCGATTTCATCCAGCGGTCAATTGCTTAGGCCTTCCGATTTATTAAAGTTTTTCGCTTCGTTTAGTGAGAGATGTAGAGTTTGTGAATAGAAATATCAAAGATCTTCAGAATGTAGGTATTTGTTTTTATTGAAAAAAGAGCAGTCAGATGTATGATTCACATATTTTTAGACGCATAAATAATTCCTATTCCATTCTTTTGCTAGATATTCTTTAATTACCTGTGCAATATAGTTTTTTGTATAGCACGGTCAAATTATCATGTAAAATAAAAACAAGCAGTCCAAATTGCCCACGATAAATGGTGCGAATGTGTTTTGAATATAAATTGAAACATTTCGGCGGTTAATTAATAACTCTAGCAGTGTTCGCCGTGTTTCAACTCGGTGGGCAAGTTAATCCGTTCTGGTAATATGTACGCAATGGAAATTGTTAAAGTAAGTCTACTCAAAGTATAGTAGATTTGCTCTATGAGCATGGTAGGTGCTAAAATAAGTAGATATCGTACTTAGAGCTAAAATTTAAAATAATAATATTCATCTTTAAGTCTTTGACTGGGGAGACACTAGACACAATATACATTTTATTGTTAAATTAAGTAGTAATTAAGTTAAATTGATAAAATTTGCAAATTCTACGGTTTTATAACATAAATATATATTATCATCAAGTTTAACATTTCTGAGGTAGAATAAAATTGCGTAAAGCAATTGTTATCATTTGACAGTTCATAACGTTTATTATTCTGTCAAATGCTTTGTTTAACTGACTTTATCGTACGTTATGAACTGTCAAATGATTACGATTGCTTTACACAATTCTACCTAAGAAAGAGAGCATTTTGTTGTGTTTCCATGTACAGATCGCATCTAGCATTGCAAACCAACCTCAGTGGTTTATGCTAATGATAATAAATGAAAAAAAAGATACTCTTCTAGTGGATCTACTGATCTGCCTTGTACTGTGACTTTGTGGTGTATTCATAACTAAATTAAGCTACATGTCTAATCGTCTAGGAAATTTAGTATTCTTGATACAGATTGTGGTAAGACAAATTGTGTTTTGTTGCACATTTATACTCATGCATTTTAAACCATAATTAAGTTTCTTGAGATAATTGCAATCCCAGGGGCCATTGCTTAGACGAAATTGCAACTGGAGCAAACTACTGTGGAGTTTACAACCATGACATATTTACTTAGTGCAACTTCAAAAAGGAAAGTTTCACGCTTGTATTCTCAACTAAATGCCTTATTTCGCAAAGCATACAATTTCAGTTATTCAAGTCATACAAATTAACAATAGTAAATTCACCAAAATTTATGATTTAGGGCTCTTATACAACTATGTATAAATCTTACTGTGTTTTTGACAAAAATACCCAGTTAAAGTGAAAAAAAAAACGACTGAAATTAATACAATTCTTATCGTTGTTAAAACCTACAGATGCAATATTTTTGGTTGTTCTGTGCGACACATATTTTTACCCGGCTGCGCCAGAAGGAGGGTTATGTTTTTTTTAAAAGAGTGACGTCACCACCCCTGCTGCGGAATATTTTCGATCGTTCACGGCATAACAGCGTTTGTAAGTAGGTTGCACGCAATTCTGATCCTAGAAAGCAATTTTCTAGTAATTTAACCGTGTAAATTCCCTTCACAGCAATTTTCAGTGTGGTACTACTTTTTTCTCCCCTAGATATGTTAAACGTTGATGGTGCAATTTTGCAAAACCGTAACTGCAGTGGACGACTGCGTTTGTTTTATGACTTTATATTCTATTGCTTTACTAGGAAGTTAGTAACAGTTTAACCTTGGAAATACTAGTATGCACGTTGACATGCAACCCCCTGTGGTCACTGTATACTCACACATGCACTTTGATTTATTAGCTCTCGTTAAAACAGTAGTAAGTTATACACATTGCTAAGACTGTTATTTACAAGGAAAATATTTAAAACACGGCCCTATCAACATAAAAAATCCACAGGCATTCTATCAAAATGATTTCAAATTCTATTTGGCGAAATTGTTTACGAAACTCGTCTTATTAGAATTTATTTACAGCTGAAATATGGCCTCACGACGGATATTGCCTCCTAAAACAGTGAAACATTCTTTCACAATACACGCGTATATTACAGTAGACTTATTTTCTATACAAAATAGACTTTCACTAGTAATGAGGGTTAAAAAAACGCGTTTTTTAAAATAATAGTTTGGTTCTGATAGTGATATTTGTAGTTTTAGAAAACTTTCAACAGTTTATTAGTAGATGGATAACGCAACTCAAATTATACAGATTTCTTATTTTATTTTAGAATTCTAAACAAGAACCAAAGGAATGATTAAATTAGAAAACATGGCGCCGTAACGCCCGCTGTTTCCAGTTACTAATGAAAGAATAATAGTAATAGGGATCAAATTACGTAAGCAAAAAGTGATGAAGGGTAGTCAATGATATAATGTTTATCTAAATGTAGGCGATATTAAATTGAACGAAAGCAACATCGTCAAGATGTCAAATGTTGACAGCGGAGTGGGAGTTGAGGGCAGACCTTGATAATGATGTTTGATGCGAACAGTAGTCACTTCACTTTATTCAGATAATTATGAATTCATTTCGTCCTATTCATGTGGCTTGAATTTAAAAAAAAACTGAGTCTCTAACTCTCTGCTAGAAATAATACTCTTAGTTGAAATAAGTAATTTACAGTTTAATATAGTGTTTTGGTCCTTCGAGCCAGATATTGACTTCAAGTTCACCTGACTCGCTGCGATACGTTGCGTTGCTTAGACAAATTCACAAAACCTTCAATATTTTCACGCAACCTTACTAAACTTACACGTACCGTAACGTAATAAACCTCAAAATAGAGAACAGCAAACTTACTGTTCTCTATTTTGAGTTTTATTACAAATGTTTTCCTCGTAAATATTTCATTGATAATAAAACGTTATTTGGTGAGATAGCAGTTATTTTGTTATCACTTATGACTGCAAGATTCGCCGATTTCAGAAGTTGAAGCAAACATTTTACGATGTTAAAATATTTCAAATATCATTAACAATGGCTGCGTTCAGCTGATAATTAGAATTGTTAAAATTTGCTAGAAAACTTTAGCATGTTTTCGGCACGCGTTTGCTAAAAGTGACGTTTCCCATACATTTTTTTGACAGTGACAGCACTTACCGCTAAAAGGACGCCAATTTTTACTTGCTAGCGCTATTTTCCGCCAAACGCCCCCAATTTCCGTAATCGTCGCTTATTACTATAAAATCCAAGCGTAGTATACCTACAAACGTACACCCCCTAAAAATGCGAAACAATATTAAATTCTTCTAATATTTTCCACCAAAACTGAAGCTGACATTTTTCGACGGCGCTTGTCATAATTTAGATGGCCGACCTGCGATCTCAAGAACATCGGGAAGGATGCGGAAAAATATAATTAGAAGAAAATAACATTTTTGGGGGCCATTAATGTTCGCTTTAATAACTTCCCTTGTTTTTTGCTTTTATGGTGGAAAGCTTTTACTGTAGTGAAAAGATAATTATTGGAATTTTTTGATGTATAAAAACCATAGGAATTATAGTCTTAATAGTTTTATACGTACTAGGTACTGACGATAGCACATCAAGCTAGCCAGCTAAAAATGTACTTAGTTGTTTGTATAGCTGCTAATTTTCTGCAAAAATAATCTCATGTGCTGTTTATTACTAACTAACTACTAACATGTACTCATCAAGAACTGATCATCATATTGATTGTTATAAAGAAGAACGGTCACGCCCCATACTTTACTATTATTTCTAAACTATACAAGATATCGAAAAACTAGTTACTGATTCTGAAAGTGCTTCACGAGCTCTTTCAAATGGTACCAATAATAGGTTACAGATTATGGAAGCTGGTAACATTGAATTTTTGGATTTTGTAACTTCTCGTTTCCACCCTGTATAATCCGGCTGTATCTCCAGGTCACCTAGATACATTCCATAGCAGCTGTAATAGACATTTAGGTACATAAATTTACCAATTTTGGTGATAAATATGCATTTTGTATCAGTTTTTGTATAACGCCTGAACAAAAACAAAGGGTAATATTTTGGTGTTATACATAGATTTCGAATATAAAAAATATATAATTTATCTAATTAAGACATGACATAAAAACTGAGGTATGTTTCGTTTCTGTCGGGCCTGGGTCACAGATGACCGTTCTTCTTTAGAATTATAATATGTTTAAAGTTTCCTAAATAGATGCTTGTTTGAATTCCCACAGGATGATCTATTTTTTATCAATACTTTTTGTTTGTTTTAAAAGAAATATTGGAACAACACTATGGTCACTAAAGATGCGGATGTTTCTACTCCCCAATTTTGATGTTTATCTCGTACCTACATTTAACAATTTTTCTGATCTGCATTAAGTTCGCAAATAAAATATTAAATTCACACTACAGACAGACAGTTTGTGAGTTATAAATAAATAGCCACTTGAATGTTTAAGAACCATCAGGCACTCGCCAGAGAGACGGCCAACTTATTCAGATGCGAATTCGAAACAGTCGCTATACATTTTAAATGGAACGTTCGTAGCACTAACTGTATGACAGTTTTACACTGCAGATAAATGCTTCTGTAGCTGCTATTCTTCGTATCTACTTAAAATGAAATAGATCTACCTGAGATCGGAATGTCAAAGTTGAATTTGAAATTCATGATGATCGTAATATCAGAAGCATAAATTCTATGAGAATTTGTGAACAAAGTTTATGTTGCGGACATACTAGTGACAGACGCTCAACAGTAATATTTCAAAGTCAAAGTACCTATAAACTTTATTAGTACTAGTACTTACAAATCGTCAAATATTTTCCTCTTAAGGAGCCTCTACATGACTCATAATCTTTTTACTAGCACTCCGAGACCAACATTTGGCAAGTGCTGAGAAGAAGCACCGCTACAAACTTAGTCACCAATGTCTGTCGGTTAATATAAATAAATAAATCAGTTTCATGTTAAATAAATAGTTAACACGGTAGTGAGGTCACAGTAGATTAGAAAAGCAATATAAATAACTCTCATTAAGTTATGTGTCGTTCAGTTTTATTTTTGTCACAAGGATATTCTCAATGGAATTTTTTTAAATAATTTGCTCTTAATTATAGGATTCCTTTTATGTTGATTTTGTCAGTCTTCATCTTGTGATGTGTAGGCGTTGTTAATTATTTGCTACCTGTCTCAATTGAATATTTTACAAAATTTTATATCATCATAAATTACCAATTCCATTCCATCTTAATTCCATTATTTGATTTCTTGATTTGAGCTTTCAATGGTGTATATTATTTTCTCACCCATTATCAATTTATTTAGAAATCGATCCCAAGACCTCGACTGATAATTTCAGCTTATGACACTGGTCATGAAAAAATGTGGTTGGATAACAAAGTATTAAACGTGACTGTCTCTACATTTTTTAGTTCATTTACAAAATGTCCATACTAAAAGTGATATTTTTCGCTTCGTCTCCAAAAACACATATTGCTGACCGTGTAACGTGTCGGACGGGACACGTTGTCCATTAGATCAACGCGATGCCCTCGCAGCAGTTTTTATTTCGAAAGCTTCCCAAAATAATGGTTGAACAATTAACATATTTACCGATATTTTTATCTTTGTTTACAACACTACTAATTTGTGCATAGCACTCACTCGGTAATAATATCTTGGACTATTTAAATACCGCAATAAGTTATTTGGTTGATGATAAGTAGACATTTTGACATTATAAAAGCCATCTTTGCGACATCTACTTGTATTAAATAACTCATTATTTTACAGCTGTCATCTTAAGCTGTCAATTTTACGAAAAATCACTTAACGTCGTCGCGCTTCCGAGAAATTATGTTTTTAAAACTTTATTGAAACTATTATTTTTATAATACATTATTATTTGACTCGATGTAAGTGGTAACTTGTCTTGTTCAAATCTCTTTCCTAGATTTTTTTTTCATGCACTTGAGTAATAAAATAACAATAACAAAATGTATTTTAAAGATAAAAGTGTTGTATATTAATCCTTGGATAACATATGCTATTCCCCAACTAAATAGCCAGCAAAACGGCAGGAGCACAATTCCGTAAAGATTAATTACCCAAAGATATCCATCTATACAGCGTATGTTCTCAATAAGGCTCCGGTCTTGTATTATATTGCCTTTCAATATGCCTAAGCTGGCGAAGAGTTGCCAGCGGTCAGCTCTTTGAGATGAACCGCATATTCAAGTTTCCCAATAATCCTATTATAGACCAATTGCTCAGTTATCCAGGATTAGCGGAGCGATCGCCGGGCATCCATTAATTAATATAAATCCACTGGCGCTTGCTTAATATTTAGCATTGTTTTGTTAGTTTCAAATCTTCAAGCTTTGATGTTGGTATCGTGTTAATGACATTTTGTAGAAACTTGTTGATTGTAGAATAAGCTGTAAACTACAGTCTGTTGACCTAATTTAGTTACAACAATTGACTTATTAATTTTATTAAAAAACCAAGTACCTACCTACGTGATGGAATATAAAATACTAAACGTGTTTTTCAATGAGGCATCAATCTTTTAAACTGCGATCTCCAACCCGCCTGCCAAGCGTGGGGGTTATGGAAAAACCCTCCACTATAGTGGAGGAGGCTCATAGTCCAGCAGTGGACTGTAAAGGGCTGTTGATGATCATGATCATAATGAAACGTGTCTTTGTTTAGTTTACTCTACTTCAGTTATCGCTGATAAAATGAGTCCTACATAAATAGGTACCTACATAATTTGGAATTAGTTCAGTTAGTAAAATAATAAGGGGCTCCTAGAATGTTGTCGGTCTAATTCTGCCCACTGACTGGGCCGACAAATAAAGATAAATAACAGTAATACTCGCCTATAACATCTAGGATAATCTTGTGGTTCCTTGTAGGCGATATCTTGAAGTCGACTCTACACCGGTACAGCGCTCGGTCGGAGGCCACGACGTCGTGTATCCTCAGCATGGATGGCTGAGTCACTTGCCACTTCGCCCGCCCAGCTAGTATGTTGTCAGACCAGTGGGCGGATGTTGTCTTGACGCGGGCGTCGTAGCTGTGGACAATTTTTTAATTTAATTTGGTATGAAAGAAAAACCTTCTGAAGAGTAATGCAGAACTGAATTTAATTTAACTTTAAGCATAGATTGAGGTGTTTATTAGTTAAATTCAAAGGACAGAATATTAGGGCTGAAATTGAGTCGAGTATTGAGCATTTTTTAAAGGGACAATATTATTTGATCCTCTAAAAACTAATTGATCTTTTTTGTATGTGCACTTTTAAAAATAAATGATGTATTTTATTATATTTTATCTTTGTATTAATTATTGGGTCTATATTAGTTGATCTACGGATAAATTATGAATGATCTTCATTTAAGGTAACATAATATTTATGTTTAACATACTCTTTTAATATTTGGTAAACAAAAATAATATTTGATCCTCTTTTTTAGTTATTGATCTTTAATTTTGTTAATTGGATGATTTTTATATCAAGTTTGCCTTTTAATATTGATCACCTAATAAACACATTTCGATCTATGTATAACTTAACTTTAAAATATAATTGATCTAACTAAAAATATTATTGGTTAATATTTTTAATTAAAAAATATCTTTTAATTTACGCGGTACTTTGTGGTTGAGTGACAATCGTCCGTCATTGCTTACTGAGTTGGCCAAGGGTTTAGCGGCCAATAAGCAAGCAGAAATTGTACATTGCCATGTTTGTTTAAATTACAAGTTTTGCTTAGTTTGGGACTAGAGGCGCTATGTAAAATAATTTCTTACTTCTGACATCCCTGAACCCGACATCATAATTTTTACCTCTTTATTTTTTTTTTCAAATTGCAAGGTTGATTTTCTCTTAGTAGGTATACCGATCTCGACCGTGATCAGTGACCATAAAGTCATCTGTCAACGGGTCGATTAGACACGATAAAAGCACTAAACGATATTTGTTTACTTTTAGTGCGACATCGGGTCGTAAGGACCTGATAAATTTTTTTTCCAAATATTTACTGTGTTTGACGAAACAATTGCAAAACAATATTTATCTTTCGTACTACTGAAAAGACCGAATATATCCATCCCGCACCAACGCATCCAGCACCTAAGGTCAATTCCAGTCAATTCGACCCGATAACGCAGTGTGAACGTGTTAAGTATACTTTTTTAATAAAAAATAAATCTTTGAACATCAAGTGCCTTTAAATAGTTTCCATTCTTTGACTACAACTTAGTAAAAATAAGTACCATAACATAATTATTTTGAAGATTATTTGATATAGACAAAAAATAATTTATACAAATCGAATTATTTAAAAAAGTATCACAATATTGAATATTTGGTGCTCATTTCTTTTATTTTTGAGGACCAACAAGTAACGATCAGATATAATTTTTACATCTCAAAATTTTTTTGCGTAGTTCAAAAGAGGTTAAAAATATCGATCGATTTCATTTATTTTATGTCTCAAAGAAAGAGGATCAATCATTAAAATAGATGACCATTTAGATTTTTTTATTTGCCGTTTTTACTAATTTAAAAAGATCATTTAAATACATGCCTTTTTTAAATATGGACGGAATTGACAATCATACTCAGCCTGAGTTGCACCACCTAACTTTAACGATAACCAGTGCTTTTTGTACGGAGTTTGACAGATTTTTGACGTTTATTAAAGGTAAAGTAAGATGATGCAACCCAGCCATAGTTTATAGTACAACCACCCCTTATTCTAAATATATGGCTACTACAGATAAAGGATTTATGGGTTTAATACTCGTATACGTACAGGCATTTTTTAGTTGTTAAGTGGTAATAATAGGTTACTTAATTAAATTCGTTAAAAAACCAAGAGGTTTATCTATTATTATTATAAATAAAACACTTCATTGTACACAACACAAAACAATGAAATGAAAAATTAAAAATAAGTGTTGGTATAATTTACCAAAAAATATCAACATCCAAAAACCATTACAGACTAAAGTATGTATTTTAGCCTTGCCCTAATATCGTGTCCCCTAAACATTTTTGGTGACAAATAAAAAAGTATGAACTCTACGTACAGGTAATAAAGACGATAATAAACTGAAAATTGTATTGAAACAGCTCATAAATATTTTATAGGTGTTGCCACAAGGCGCTTAGTTTTCATAAAACGTCACATAGTTTATGAAATACTTGAAATTCATTCGCGTCATATCATTTCGTTGTTGAATGTGTTTTAATATTTTTACTGAAAAAAGAAACAAGCTTTATTACTTTTGCCCGCGGCTTCACCCGCATAAAATTTAGTTTGTCACAGATCGTCATAAATTATAGCCTATATGATATTCTGGGTCATAAACAACACTACTGTAAATTTTCATTAAAATCCGTTTAGTAATTTTTGCGTGGAAGAGTAACAAACATGTTAACATCCAGATAAATACAAACTTTCGCATTTTTAACATGTAATGATAATGATGAAAATAAATGATGATGTAAGATAACTCAAATGTATTACTACAATAATATTTGTAGAATGATTGAAAACTCAGTTTGCTGTTTTCGTTGATGATTGCGTTTTTGGTCCCATAATACCAGTTTTACATATTTTATTTATGTAAAAACTTTTGTTTGAAAAGGTTTGATGTAGTTTTTTCGGGTTTTTAATCGGTTATTACAATTAAAATTCTCCGCTCTACTCCACCTTGGTGGAATCCGGGCCTAAAACTGTACATCAAGTGTTACAACTGCACCTTAACTTAATGTTAGAGTTCAGTGAGAATAATATCAGTGTTAACGTCAAAGTCAACATCTGACGTGCTTTTTCACGAACATCCAAACAGTGCTACCAAACTCAATAAACCGCTGCCACTTGCTCCACACGACCAACCCGTTCATGCTAACCGCAAATCATCAATCAACTTCGACGTGGCTCTGAAAGAACTATACAAAGTACACGATATTCGTCATAATCCGTCATGGGGACGTGCAACCGTATCGTAATAGACTAGGAGCTGGTGAACGCCAGACCTACGTCAAATAAAAGCTGAAAGTTTATCGGCGTATGCTCCCAATATAGGCTAGAAATCTAGAATGTTGGTGCATCATGAAGTTTGGGTCATCAAAAGCATCGTAACTTTGGCAGCTACCAAAGCTAGCTAGCCTTTTGAGGCCTTTTGAAGCCTACCTTTTGAGGGTAGCTACTTTTGAGGCAAGGAGTTAGAACTGTCAAACCTGTCTGGCTCATGAGGAAACAACTTTTATACATTGCCCAAATACTATACAAAAATCAGCTTTTATGGTATGGTAAGTAGAATTACAGTCTAATGAATATACAACAAAGGCCACCGTAAAAGTTAGGCTTAGTACTCACCAGACAATCTTTTGAAGGTAGCTGCCAAAGCCACGACGACCCAAACTTCATGATGTACCAACATTATAATCTATATTGCGAGCATACGATGACAAACTTTCAGCTTTTATAAAATGACGTAGGTCTGGCGTTTACTAGCTCTTAGTCTATAAGGGAAAATGTACAGATACGAGTAGAGCTGTGCAGCGTTTATTTATTCGAGCTTAGTATGTGATGTAGTGGCTCCTTTATGCGCAAGGAAGCTGGACTCTGTGGGGGTTTTCTTAAATGGTTAATAGTGTTTTAAATGAAAACACAAGAAAACGACGTAGGTTTACGAGGTGAGCTAAGTAAGTAGCAAATGATGTAGCTAACTTATTTAGTGATTGCTTGCTTGCTTATGAAACTGACGATATTTTCTTCAGATTCATAAATTTGTAATTCCTGTAGTTCCAAAGAGATCAGCTGGCCTAATTTTTTATAACTTTAGAATAAGTAAGTAGTATAATAATATGCATTTGTCAGATGTAAAGCTGAAGCTTTTTACTAGATTTTACACTTTTATTGTTCTGCAGTTCTGTTCTGGACAAATACGATTTATTTTTAAGCAAAAAATATTTAAATAAAATTAATACGACTCCGTTCTGCGTCCTCAATGAGCCGCGCTTTGACGTGCCATGAGAAATGGCCGTCACCAGCAAGTGCTGGTGAGTTATGCCCAAACCACTAGCTTTATTTTCTTTTCACAACCACGGTTAAAATAAAATTAATGAATAAATAAAAAAAATGTTCCACTGTCACATAAATTCTAGCTTCTATTCTAGCTTGAACCTAATGCAGTCTACGCACCTACCGCCGACTCCGTGATATGAGTCGTTGACATGTTGTCAAATGTCATAAAAAGTACAGGTCGTGGACATGAGTCGTTTTAAATAAATCCACCGACATCAAGTCGGGCTGTCAATGGGCTTAGTAAGTAGAGTTCCTAAGGAGAGCTTTTGCCATAGGAATTATAGTCAGATGTTTTTACACAGATCTAGACCACAGATTCGAATAAAAATATGACTAAAAAAAACCCATAGTAGATATTTACAACACAACTTGACAACTGAATAAAACAACAGAATAAAAACGTAGAAACGTAGTTAAATGTGGGTAGTGATGTACGTAATTTACTCTTATTACAAAGGTACTTATCGCCTACGAGGTAGGTACACCATTGATACCTAATAAAAGTTAACGACGTGTCATATTATCATGTTAATAGCACTATCCTAAACTAACCAAAGCTATATTGCATGAAAATATATTTCAGATAGCCTCTACCTTGGTTTGGGTATAACATGAGCCATATTTCACTCCTACCATTTCAAGCAGTTCAGTCGCACTAGTCGACTTTTTTATCTCAAAATAAGTCTCTCGTCCTCATCATTCGGTCATTATTGGTCTAGTGCAAAAGCACGACCTTCCACATGCAAAAGGCGGATTTAACCTCTAACATAAGTCTTCTAATAAGTTATATTAAGAATAAATGATGTATCAACCGTCTCCAAATAGCCATTCCACATAATTTTATAACGACCACAAAAGCCCGAGTCATCGAAAAGAAGTCTCCCACGCGGCCATCTTTTGCGGAGTCATGCGCGGTGCCATCAAGCGATTTTCCGATGGATGGCCGCGCACATCGGCTAACAAGGGTCACTGT